TTTTTATGGAGAAAGTGTCGTCGTGAGGCACGAAACTTCCGAGACCCAAGCAGGATCCGCCCCCCTGCTCTGTAGGCAAGAGGAACCTTGGCTTTGTCGGCTTCTCGCCTCGCCATGGCGTAGTACGCCGGGGCCTTCATCTTCTCGACAGCGAGCCACTTGACCGGGGCATTTTGAGCGGGGGTCATGTGGCCATCTACTCTCTTGACAAAGACCCCTTTACTTCCCGAGTTGTCAAGCGCAAGCTTCAGGAAGCTGGAGGAAGCCGCAAATGGCCTCGTCGCGCTGTTCAAGTTTGTGCCAGCCGTAACTGCGCATTGCAAGCTCGTCCGGGAGAAGCAACTTCACGGCCCCACACCCAACCAAACCAGCCAAACCTTGGAAAGCACATTCGTGCATGACGCCGACGCGTCAATCGGTCTTTTGGGCTCGCGGCCTCTTTACGGCCCATTAGCTCTTGACTCTGTTCTTTGCTTTCATCTTGTGGGACTTTCTCAGTCACTCTTGGGACGTCTCTAGCCACATGTTCTTGAACTTCTTTCTTTTTGTACTTGTTCTTTCCGTCTGACTCACTTCGCACCTCGAGCTTTCACGAAGTCGCACGGGGTGTAGAACAGGAGGCAGGGTTCTTTACGACGTGGAAAATCGATGTTCGAGCATCATTGCTTGATCCCTCAACTTGACAATCCAGTCTGGAACCTTACCCTCAGAATTATCTTTAGGACTTTAGGATCAACTTCATCTGAAGCTTGAGCTGGAGAACCTGCGTCAAGCCCGTCGGGTGGCGCGTCAGCTGCCGAACCCTCGGGAGCGAGAGCAGGCAACGGCTCGTCACAGTCGTCAATGGGAGATCCAAGGACACGAAGCTCTTCACAGATATCTTCATTGACTTGGGAAGGATGCTTTGTGGAAAACAGAACCATCACTTTCCTGTAACCTTTCCAGGGCATTGTCGCATGGACGGCGCTCTTAGCCCGAAGTTGGATAACCCCTTTCCTGAAGCCGATGCGTTGCGTTGTCCCCCTGAAGCCTCAATCCATCCAAATACGCTTTGTCAAGGTGTGCATTGTGGAAATCCTCGTGGGGACCTGTGGCAACAGTACTGAAGATGCTGAGCGTTGTGTACCCGAACTTTGGAACCTTTGCGCACGCGACATTGTTGAGGACTCTTGTGACCAACGGGAATCGATGAGCAAAAGTCCTAAGTCCAAGAGCACCACCCAAACGATAGGGATTCACCTTGATCACCTCTGGGAGCCGGTTCCTTCTCAACAAGATCAAACAATTTGCAAACGGCGCGAGCACTGACACCACCCCCCACGGAACCCGAGATTTGCCTAGCCAGTTCTGCAGGATGCGAATCAAGGCTGTGGATGGCGCTAGAAATAGCAGCCGGTCCCACGCCACATCAGCAAACTCCCCTGATGGGTCGCCCACAGGGTTGGCAGCACAGTGGGTAAACCTTGCTTGACTCGTAAAGATCGGGATTTGTTCGTCCACTCTTGTAGCATAGTGTCGTAGATGCTCAGGGCAATCTACTTTCAGGCATGAGGGGTCTGCAAAGAACGGCAAGCCCCGTGGGGCCCGGCAGCCAGATAAATGCCTTTCCGGATTCAACATCCATCCCTATGCTACGAACTAGCGGGCAGCTGTCCAACATGTAGTGCAAAACCCAAGGTTTGCGCACCAGGTTGCGGACCACCTCCAGTATGGAACGTGACAGGTGACCGCGAAGCACCAAGGAAGTGATCAAAGGCAGTAGTAGTATTAGTAGTAGTAGTAGTAGTAGTAGTAGTAGTAAGTTGTAGTAGTAGTAGTAGTAGTAGTCGTCGTCGTCGTAGTCGTAGTCGTGATCGTAGTCGTAGTCGTAGTCGTCGTCGTCGTTGTCGTCGTAGTAGCAGTAGTAGTAGTAGTAGTAGTAGTAGTAGTAGTAGTAGTAATGGTGATGGTAGTAGTAGTAGTAGTAGTAGTAGTAGTAGTAGTAGTAGCAGTAGTAATAGTAGTAGTGGTACAAGTACTAAGAAGAATGACAACAATAATAGTATTAGTAGAAGAGAAAGAATGGCAATGATAGTAGTCATAAGAAGAATAAAAATAATAACAATAACTCGCGATGATGTCAGAAATGTCCTTAAAGTAATAACAACAATAGCAATAATCATAATAACAAGAACAAGAAGAAGCACAGGACAATCACAACAACAACATTAATCATGATGCTTGCATGCATGCATGTGTGTATATATATATATGCATACATACATAAGCATCATGTACATATATATATATATATATATTTAGTTATGTACACACACATACGTACTGGGGTATACGGGAAACACTTACATATCACTGACACTTCAGTCCCCATCAGTGGCGAAGAAAGAAGTACCATCTCCTTATCGATGATGGGGTCCTTATCGATGATGAGGTCATTACCTTTGACAGGAAAACCTCAATGCACTTGGTTGGTAGATCCTGGTAGATCCCAAAACCAACACCAACGCCTGATCATCAGAACACCACGAGGTTCGTCAGCATCACCACTGCAACCATCCCAGTCGTCGCAACTACCCCTATCACTATGACCAACGTCGTCGTCGTCGTGGCCACCGATTCGCCGTCGCTGTCACAGTCTTCGCTGTGGTCGTCGTCGTCATCACCATTGTCGTCTTCGCCGCCCGTTAACATGTAGCACATCTTCATCGCCACATCTGGTAGACTTCTGAGTGGCATTTCCAAAGTCTTTGCTGTTACCCTCCAAGGTTAGATGTGACCACTGGCATGCTGTGGTTGCTGCTGCCGCACTCGCGTTGGCGTTTGGTAATCTTGGTACAGGTGTGTAGTGGTGCTACCTGTGTAGGTTTCGGGCTCTCTGCTGCTCTATCTATCCATGCTGTCTCACTACATGTGCCCATGCCGAAATGTGCAAAAAACCGTTGTGCTTTGGTGGTTTCCCCACTGCAACCAGTGATGATAGACATGTCGGTGGTCCCAGAACTATAGCTTAAACCTTTACGTAAAGCCTTCGCCGTAACACCGAGAATCCGTTACACCCTGAGCCTGGAACCGTAAGTGAAGCCTAAACCCTCGTAGCAAAAACCCTGCTTCGGAAACCCTTCTAGAACTCTAAAAGCACTCCCAAACTCTCCCCTGAACGCGAAATCCCCAAAGCCTGTAATCTCCAGACCTAAAAATCCTACAGAGCATAAAAATTACAGACCACAGAAATTGCTGGCTTCTTGCATGAGAAGAAGCTCGAAGTGGACCACCGACCTTGGCCAGCCGATGTGAGTCCAGTAGTAGCGGATGCCACCTGCGTCTGGCGACGGGTGGATGTTATTCCAAAACACTGACTTAAGGGGTCAAGGATTTAGGGTTCAAGGTCTATCGGTTTTGGGTTTTGGGATTCAGGGCTTCAGCCTTCATGGGGCGACAGCCGAAGGGTCCCGTTGAGGGCTGTATAGGTATTATTATGAGGGGTTTATGACAGTTGATTATAAAGGGGTTTATGAGAACTGTATTCTAGTATAGGGTAGTGTAGGGTCCGTGTACCTATGTAACAACATATAAAAGACTTTGTCAATGGAGTCTCTACATCTCGCTATGAAGCTGAAAAGACAAGCATAGAATCTGTCGGTGCGTAGCTTGCTTCCCCAAGACTGCTAGGGAACTAAGAGGTTGAACTTTCAGGTTACTACGAAACTATAAGAACCCAAAAGCTCAAAGGTTGGGTATTGAGGAACTAAGATAGATCTTCGAAGCAACCCCGGTAGGGATTTAGGATCCGATTCGAGCTGAGGGCTTTTTTCTTGGGAAGCGACCAACCTCAGCTTAGGGTTTAGCGTTTAGGGTTTAGGGTTTAGGGCTTTAGGGCTTTAGGGTTTAGTGTTTAGGGTTTTAGGGTTCATGGGATTAAGGGCAAGTTTAGGGTGTAGGACTAAGGGCTTATTACTTATGGAAGTAATATTGCTCTTTAGGCCTCCTGGGTTTCTGATTATACTACATACTGCTAGAAGAGGTTCCCAAATCGCTATTCTAAGCATTAAGGCCCCCATGTTAGATGTTTCGAAAATAAACTCCTTTCGGTGTTCCGTTTAGGGTCTTTTTTGTTGAGCTCTTGGGCCAAAGACTATTATTCACTATGCAAGGCCTTTCTGGCCCTTTTAGACTTTTCCGCCCGTTTACAGCCTGAGGGGTTTAGAGGGGTTAGGTTCCATGCTTGGACTTCAGAACCTCGAGAAATGCTCACAAATTTAAAGTTTCTGGGTTTAGGCTTTTGGGTCTGGCAACGAGTGCTCTTGCATGGAGAGAATATCTCCTGCAAGAAGGCTGTGAAATCCTCGAAAGGCCCTCTGACCTGACATAATTAGTTAGGGTTTAGGACTAGGTGTTTAGGGTTTAGGCGGTTGAAAGGGGTTCGAACCTAAACTCCGTATGACTCGGGTCCTTGCCTAGGCTGTTAAGGCAGTAGCTCACTCCCTGACTATGCTTCTAAATCCCACGTCGTACCTGCGTGGGTTCGGCCGTTGACTCCACCAACCAGGGCCCATGCATCACATTTGTCGCCGACCTACACATCAGCTTGTGTTCCGAGTTTGTTTAATGTTCAATCTGAAGGCTCCGGGAAAGTACAGCTGAAAGAGGAACACATGTCTTGTTACCGTAGCAGGCATTGCGCTCGAGAACACGATTGATCGACTTTTCTCGGACAGTGTTGAAAGCTAAACTTAGTCGCGGGACTTCCCTCAAGCTCGACATGGCTATTGGTAGTATTACGGCTAGAATCAGTATAAGCACCAATACCCAACAAGTGTTCTAATAATAAACCAACAGCTGTAATAGTTGTTAGCGGTAGCAATATCACCAGTATACCACAAGTATAATTAACACTCCTCGTCGCAGTAGTCGTCGTCATCGTAATTGCGAACAAACCTCCATAAACTGTAGAAGCGGTATCACCGAAAAAGAGCAAGTATGAGCTGCAAACCCGAAGGCTCGGACATTGTAGCTCTAGGATCTATTGGCTGCGGGTTTGGCTTCGGGGCCTTTGGAGTTTCGAGGTTTCACAAGTGCAGAGCTCAGTTCAAAGGCCACACACCATGGAGTTCCAACATAGGTAGCAGCTGCCTTTTGAGCACAAGATGATTCACTTCTCTAAGATACAGGCCTTAGTGACTAGAATAGG